AAGGATGACCCTATTGGAAACCTGAACACTGCATTTGAGGTGGCAGAGAAGTACCTGGACATCCCGAAGATGCTGGACGCTGAAGGTGAGTCAAATCAATCCAGTTCATCAGGAGGAGATCCTGTAACACACAATATAGGATAGGGATGCACGATATTGGATTTTTGCCGATATCCGATATGCCGATAATTTTCAACTCATTTTTGCCGATACCGACGTGATCTAATCGCTAGCACACCCTGAGCACATGTGAGTTAATGTATTCCTCTTATCGGCAAGACATATCGGCATAATTTTTCATATCGGGCCGATGCCGATATTTACATTTAAAGCCATTATCGGCCGTATTCATATAATTTATATTATAAATAAATATATTTAATATATAAACATAACATATTTTTCTGAAATATATACATGCATGTGTGTGTACTTGTATATACATAATAAATATACACAGTACACACACATATATTATGCAAACAAAAACTTTTATTTTGGATGTGATTAATCGCGATTAATCGTTTGACAGCACTACAATTAATATTCAGTAATATTATCTTTTCAACTGCACTGATAATATTGAATGAGAGCAAAATATGAACTGAATTGAGGTGGATAATGATGAAACTAACTTCAAACATCAGTACTGTTATTCAACTGAACTAAATTAACACTGAACCGAATTGAGTTGAATAACAATATGCATGTGTTCTGTTGAGCTGCTTTAGAGTCTAAATTGAATTTGTTTGATAATTGATAAACTTTGTAACATTGTTATTGAACTGAATTGATTCAACACTGAACTGTATTGAGCTGAATTTTAATTCTGCCGTCTTATGTAAAGCTGCTTTGGAGCTGAAATTTAGTTTGTTTCACAAATGATGAATTTTACAACATTAACACTGTTAATTGAACTGAATTGAATCAACACTAAACTATATTGAGCTTAATACCAATACTATTGGCTTCTGTGAAGCTGTTTTAGAGCTGAAATTGAATTTGTTTAATAATTGATGAATTCTACGACATTAACACTGTTATTGAACTGAATTGAATCAACATTGAACTAAACTGAGTTGAATAATGACCCTGTTGTCTTCTTTGGAGCAGCTTTAATTGATTAAATTTGTTTCATAATTGATTAACTGAATCAACACTGAGCTGAATATTGATACTAATATCTTCTATAGAGCTGAAACTGAACTTGTTTCATAGATGATAAATGATTTTACAACATTAACACTGTTATTTTCCTGTTTCTTACTGTGTGAAACTGCTTTGTCACATTCTGTACTGTATATGACTTAAGATTAAAATTTGTGATGCAGTGTTGTGTTATTGAAATATCTCATCTTGACAAACAGATTGTTGAATTTTCATAGACAATTGGTCACGATGAACGCAGACCTGCTGGAAAGGGCCTTTGGTTGAACTCAACTCGGTTTCTTTTTGTCCTCAGACATCGTCAACACCCCTAAACCTGATGAGAAAGCCATCATGACCTACGTGTCCTGCTTTTACCATGCTTTCGCCGGTGCCGAGCAGGTAAAAGTCACCACAAATCCAATCAGATTTGGATTCAATTTCCCAAACCAATGTTTTTTTCATTATTACGGCGTAAGATGTATAAACTGGGATCAGTTTGTGTAAATGATTGAAGGAAATTGATTTGAGTAATGCACTGAGCTTCCAGACGCTCTCCAGTGTAACGCAGAGTAAATGAACGTGTAAATGAAGTGAGGAGACTTGGATACAGGCGCATTAACTCTAAACTGAATTTGCTATGGCACTAAATGAGCTGCTTGTTTTCTCCGTATCTCCAGGCCGAGACCGCGGCTAACAGGATCTGTAAGGTTCTGGCTGTGAACCAGGAGAACGAACGGCTGATGGAGGAGTATGAGAAACTGGCCAGTGAGGTGAGAGTTTTTCAGACGTTAACAGCAAAAACCAGTGGGATTACTGCTGAAAATAAGCTCTGTGACCAACAGAAGTTTACGATTGTTAGATGCTTTGTTCATCCTGATAATCTTTACAAATGAACACAACTTGAATTTTGAAGCATAAATACAACTGGCAGAGGTAAAAAGCTAAACATTAATTTGCAAGAGCACAGTCATAAATATAAGGAATACTGTGAGTAGACGAGTTTAGCTGTTTGACTTGATAATGTTTAATGTGTCCAAAAACCATTAAAAAAAAACATTGACTTCAGGACGATGGAACTGGAAGTGCTGAAATGTTACATTTCTGGGTTTTAGGACTCAGACGTTAAAAACATAGATAAAATACGCATTACACACAAATATTGGTTGAAATAGTCCGTTTTAATAAATATATATGTTTTATATTAATCATTTTCAATACTCTGTTAAGAAACAACTTAAACCAGCCTAACCAGTCAGCAAAATGTTTAAGAGACCAGCTCACCACTTTAGGCTGGTTTAAGCTGTTGTTTTCAGTCAGATACTGAGTAAAATATAGGTTCCTGGAGTTTTTCTGGTGGTTTAACCAGTGCTAGCATTGCTAAATGGCTGTAGCCTGCTGAAATGAACAGCATGAATGCACTTTAATAATTTGTTAATAATAAAAATAACTTTATTTGCCAAATGCATAAATGTAAAATATATCTACACTTCCCATACAGCAAAAAAAACAAAAAACTAATATATTTAAAAATATACAAAAATGGCCAAATGTTTCAAAATATATTCATGTAAATAATATAATTTCTACTAATATATTTTTTGGGCATTTTTAAATATATATTTAAAATTTACAACAAATATTTTTTAGGAATTAAAAATGTAATCTGCCCTATATTTTTAATCCAAGAAAATACATTCACATTTCACATTTGAAGAAAAACTTTTATTTATTTGTTGCCTATAACATGTGAACATACAAATTGTATTGAAAAATTAAACATTAATTAATCATTTTGATCTCGTGTGGGCTATAAGATTGGAAATGTATTTTCTTGCCACTGAAATACATTTTGAAGTATTTTTTGGTATATGAAGTTTGAAACTAAACATTTTAAATTTTTCAAAAATATATTTTATTTAATTTTTATTTGCCAGCTGTTTATTTGAAGATAAACTTTTATTTGTTGCCTATAACATGTGAACATACACATTTACAAAAATGTATTGAAAAATTAAACATTAATTAATCATTTTGATCTCTAGTGGGCTATTCCATCCACATTTGCATTTAGACTAAGTGTGGGCTATAAGATTGGAAATGTATTTTCTTGCCACTGAAATACATTTTGAAGTATTTTTTGGTATATGAAGTTTGAAACTAAACATTTTAAATTTTTCAAAAATATATTTTATTTAATTTTTATTTGCCAGCTGTTTACCTTCACAGACATAACCAACTGTTTTTGTAACTCGTGTGTTTTTAACGTAAAGTGCGGTATTTTGAGCTGAAACTTCAGACACATTCTGGGGACACCTGAGACTTATATTACATATTGTAAAAATAGGCATAATATGTCTCCTTTAGCCGGTCACTCATCCTGAATAAAAATGTCAGTGTTTTTGTGCTAATGATGCAGACAATACTGCATAATCACAGTATAAGGCAGCATAATTGGGGCCGTCTAGGTGTCTTCTCACTAGGCCCTGATTTTGTTCCCTCCAAGACCAACATCATGCCCATCAGTCCATCTCTCCATCTCTAACTCCTCCATTTCTCTGTAGTTGTTGGAGTGGATCCGTCGCACCATCCCGTGGCTGGAGAACCGCGTGGCGGAGCAGACCATGCGTGCCATGCAGCAGAAGCTGGAGGATTTCCGTGACTACAGGCGCATCCACAAGCCTCCACGCGTTCAGGAGAAGTGCCAGCTGGAGATCAACTTCAACACCCTGCAGACCAAACTCCGCCTGAGCAACCGCCCGGCCTTCATGCCCTCCGAGGGCAAGATGGTGTCGGTAAGTCATGCAAAACATCTGAAAAGTTGGGTTTCCACCTCCGGTTGATTTTTGACCCTTTTGAAGCATCTTCTGCACTTTGGTCCTAAGCATAGTTCTCAAATTGCACAACTTGTAACTTGACGTTATGAACAGCCAACTGCACTCCTTAGAAATTCAGCTCAATCAGATCAGTTGAATGCGAATTGGTTGTGTTGAAGCTGATACAGAAACTGTCTGTTTGTTTGTCTGCAGGATATTGCTAACGCATGGAAAGGTCTCGAGCAGGTAGAGAAGGGTTATGAGGAATGGCTGCTCACCGAGATCCGTCGTCTGGAGAGACTCGATCATCTGGCGGAGAAGTTCAAGCAGAAATGCTCCCTGCATGAGTCCTGGACCGCAGGTCACCATACTTAGTTTACACAAGAGCTTAAACATAACGCATTAGCATTCCCATTCCCAAAAATACATGATCATTTTACACATTCAAAAGCTTTACAAAAATAATCAGTTGCTATTGAAACATCTACCATTGTACATTAAAATAATGTGTGATTTATATGTTGTGAAAACAGTTGTTTTCATATGGCCATCAAACTCTGAGCTTGACACTAATCTGCCTTAATATGTGGTGACGATCACTGTTGTTCTGCAAATTTTTGTGGAAATCCAAAGTTAGGCTGTCAACATCAACACTAAGCATCCATCAGCTCTTTACTTAAAATCTATAACTTGGAAAATGTGAGTCAGAATAGAGTGCAAGAGCGTGAGTATAAACACAATGAGGCTGAAAAAAGTGGACTAATGAGATGATGCGTTTTACTGAAAATTTACAAAATTTTGCCACGTTGATCAACAGAAAGCTGCTTGGTTTGAAATCGACTTCTGTGTGAGCTGAGCTTCCTATGATTCGCTACACAACTGACAACACCACACCTTTATGGCAGAATGCACACAAGCACATATTTTTGAAATGCGCAGCCATTGTTGGGTTTCTGATTTGACGTCTCTGTTTCCAGGAAAGGAGCAGCTGCTGTCTCAGAAGGACTATGAGACGGCCTCTCTGATGGAGATCAGGGCTCTGATGAGGAAGCACGAGGCGTTTGAGAGTGACCTGGCTGCCCACCAGGACCGAGTGGAGCAGATCGCAGCCATCGCTCAAGAGCTGAAGTAAGTTTCATGGGTGCACCTCACAAAACCTACCAAAAACATGACCGGGATAATATTTCACTGCAAAATCAAAATGTATGTTGTGTGATTTGAAATAGAGCAGTAGAAATCAGCATTGAGAGTAACTATCATTACCCAAAAAAAAAACTCAAAAGTAAAATGTTGCATTGTGGTAGCAATGTTTATGTATGCTTATATATGGTAGATATATATAAGAATTTAAAAAATATATATAATTAAGTATTCTAAGTATACTTGGCTTGTGTTTACGTACCAGTATAATAAAACAACTATTAACTAGTAGGGCTAGATGTTTATAACTAGTAAACTAACAGTAAATGTTTACGTTCCATTGTGTAGTATAGTTCACGGAGTAGTTTCAACACTAAAGAAAAACTTAAATGTCAAAGCTCACTACTGGAACACTTAAAAGTATATTTTTAAAAACTAAAAAGTAGGCCAATTTAGTCTGAAGAAGTATAGAAATAGTGCACTTATAAGTTTGCTACTAGAACATTCATATTAGTATACTTACTACATGTGTTCTTAGAAAAAAAGGTTCAAAAGCTGGTGCCTTTACAAAAGGTACAAATATGTACATGTAGGAACTAATATGTACACTTTAGATACTAATATGCAACATTTAGGTTAAATAAGGTACAAGGAGTACCTTTTGAAAGGGTGACAACTTTTGTTCCTTTTTTTCTGAGAGTTTGTTATACTTCTTTGATTTTGGAGTGAAAACCTGGACATTTCCATGAGGTTCAACATTTAAAACACCAGGATTTATGCAGGAACTCCATACGACTTTGAGACGTGCTCAATGTGTTTGTCTCTCTGTCTAGTGAGTTAGACTATCATGATGCTGCTTCAGTGAACACCCGCTGCCAGGGCATCTGTGACCAGTGGGACAACCTGGGAACCCTGACCCAGAAGAGAAGAGACGCTCTAGAGGTGCACAAACACTTTACACACTCCAAACAAACTCATGCTACAGTGTGAAGCCAAATATTAGCTGCCCATAATAAACATGCAACTGGAATACCAGTCATATATGTAAAAAAGGAAATTATTTGTAGCCGTTTCTTGCATATGACTCAAGCTGATTATTTTCTTTCATCCTGCAGCGTGTAGAAAAACTCTGGGAGACGATTGATCAGCTGTACCTGGAGTTCGCCAAGAGGGCGGCGCCCTTCAACAACTGGATGGATGGAGCCATGGAGGATCTGCAGGACATGTTCATCGTGCACAGCATCGAGGAGATCCAGGTCAGCTGCATCAAGATTTATGCAAAAATTATTTCATATATATATTTACATATTTTAAATATGTATTATTTAATTATTTTAATTATTTATATATATATAATATAAATAATTATACATAGACTGTATATATATGTATGTGACCCTGGACCACAAAACCAGTCATAAGGGTCAATTTTTCAAAATTGAGATTTATACATCATCTGGAAGCTAAATAAATAAACGTTCCATTGATCAGAATCAGAATCAGAATGAGCTTTATTGCCAGTTATGTTTACACATACGAGGAATTTGTTTTAGTGACAGAAGCTCCACAGTGCAACAGAATGACAGTGACAAGACAGGACACAGATAATAAAAAGAATAATAT